AACAACATTCTCCATGGTATTCTACCTCATCGTCTGCTCAAGCTGAATCCATTGTTGAAAAATGACAAAACAGAAATCCTAAAACCGCTAAAATTTGATGCCACTCCATTTTTGTTTTTATTTACAGAAGAAGAAGATCTTCTGGAGGTAGAAGGAATACTTCTCAGACCTTCTCAATCCCACCAGCACATCTTCCATGGAGGCAGCTGAGTTGGGGGACTTTGGGGTTGATCCATCCAAAACTGTGGCTGAGGTTGCCTAGGTAGTTAAAAAGCTCCAAGGCAGCAGGGCTCCAGACATGGATGAGATTCACCCTGATTTCCTTAAGGCTCTGGATGTTGTGGGGCTGTCTTGGTTGACACGCCTTTACAACGTCACATGGACATTGGGGGCAGTGCCACTGGATTGGCTGACTGGGGTCGTGGTTCCCCTCTTCAAAAAGGGGGACCGGAGGGTGTGCTCCAATGATAGGGGCATCACTCTCCTCAGCCTCCCTGGTAAGGTCTATTCAGGGGTACTGGAGAAGCAAGTCCGATTGTTGGTCGAACCTCAGATCCAGTAGGAACAATGTGGGTTCCATCCTGGACATGGAACACTGGATCAGCTCTTTACCCTCACTAGGGTCCTCGAGGGGTCATGGGAGTTTGCCCATCCAGCCTACATGTGTTTTGTGGATTTGGAGAAGGCATTCGACCGTGTTCCTTGGGGTACACTGTGGGGGGTGCTCCATGAGTATGGGATTGGGGGCCTGTTGGTACGGGCTGTTCAGTCCCTATGCAAGCGGTGCAAGAGCTTGGTTCGCATTGCCAGCAGTAAGTAGGACCTCTTCAGGGTGGGAGTTGGACTTTGCTAGGGCTGCCTGTTGTCACAGATTCTGTTCATAACTTTTATGGACAGAATTTCTTGGTGCAGCAAGTGGGCGGAGGGTTTCCGGTTTGGTGGCCTCAGGATTCCATCTCTGCTTTTTGCAAATGATGTGGTCCTGTTGGCATCATCGTGCCGTGATCTTCAGCTCTCACTGGGAGCGGTTTGCAGCCGAGTGTGAAGTGGCAAGACTCAGCACCTCCAAATCTGAGGACATGGTCCTCAACCGGAAAAGGGTGGATTGCTCTTTCCAGATCGAGGGTGAGGTTCTACCTCAAGTGGAGGAGTTCAAGTATCTCTGGGGTTTTTTCAAGATTGACTAAAACATTATTTGTTTGCTCAACATTATAGCAAAGGTGTGTCTCAGTTAAACTTTTCCTTAATAAATGCACTTTAATGGTCAAAACAGCTTAATTTCATCTGGGTGCTGGTGTTCATCCCCACTCCGCCGCCGGAGTGGCAACTAAGGCTTTGGCCGTGAACTCTGGATCCTTCATCCGCCTACACCTCGCTGCTTCCCGGGGATGCGGAACACGTGGTCCACTGCCCCCTTCCTCCCGGCTCGGGTAGTGGAGGAAGACTGTAGAGCTTCAAACTGGAGCTGCGACGGATGGATGGATTGATGGATGGGTGGCACACTGCTGCAGAGGAAATGCGCCCAGCAGGAGCTAGCCAGACACGGGGGGCAAAGTTCCCCACAAGGGGGGATCCTCCTCTGCCGTGCGGCCATCCCTTCTGCCTGGTTGAATCCCCTGGGCAGACTGGGCAGACCCAACCCGTTTACAAACTTGCTTTCTGCTGCTCGATTACCGTTTTGGGCTGCATATTTTATTACCTGCAGTTTATAATCTGCAAAATAGGATTTTCTGTTTGGGGGCATTTTACTTGTGTTAATTTTTTTTCTCAATTGTCTCTGTGAATGGGGGTGGGGGGGTGGGGGGTGGTAGTGGTGTAGAGAAACAAGATATAAAATCTAGAGGGTTCTCTATCAACTGCAACTGGTAATGTTTACTGCTTCGTGTCTATGAATGACCATTTCAAAGGCAAAAATTGGGTTATAAATATGGGGAAAAACATATGCAGTGTATAAGTCGCAGGACTTGCAAATTTATGCAAAAAGGTGCAACTTAAATGGCAGAATATACGGTATATGTTTTGTTGAAAAAAGTACCCCAACAGGACCTCAAGACTGTTTACTGGACGACTGCTTGAAAACAACTCAGCAGCAGGTGTTGGTGTAAAGAAAGTGTCAGGATTTTGTGGACAGGAACGAACCCAAAGTGCAGACAGGACTCAAACTCGGCAGATTACAAAAATAAGTATTTTAATAATAAATGAAGAACAAAACAAACAGCTGACGTGGCAGCAAAACTTACATGAAGACGGATGGCTCAAAGGGAAACTCAGGGAGGACTCAGGAGAACGCAGAGACCCAACGAATACGACCCGACAAAGGAATAACACAGGACAGGAGGTTTATATACAAGGACAAGACAAGACGTGATTACAAACAGCAGGTGTGACAAGACAAAGGTGGCAACAATTAAACTGACGAGGAAACACTAGGGAAACACAGACACAAACAGAAACAGCAAAAGGTGCCATCCTTACAGAAAGAAGGAAATACATTTTAATTCAACTTTAAACATTCTAAAGTCACTGCCCATTCCTAGAAAATATCTTAAACTATCTAAAAAAAAAAAAAAAGAAGCAACAACTGTGATGTAAAGGTTTATGACCTGGGGCCGGTTTGCGGTCGATGTCGGTTGGGTGGTGCCTGTTTATGTCTCAGGTTGGGTTTTAGTTGGTCTCCTCTCTTGGATCAATTTGGGCCCCCCATTTAATGTGGGGTCTACTTCCCCCTGTCACTCTCCCTTCCGGTGGTGGGCCCCCCTGCCACCGGTGCATTGGCGGCTCTCAGCATCTGGGGCTGGGTGGTGGGGTGTGTGCAGGCCTGCCCTGGTGGCTGCCTGCCGGGGCCTGGGTGCCCTGGCTCTGTCGGGCTTCTGTTGTGGGGTGGTATGACCTCGGGACTCAGGGCTTGGTGTCCATGGCCGGATCTACTCTGGAGGGACGGGTTGTCGGTGGAACTTGTGGACTCATCGCTGCAGCCTCCTGGGGTTTTTGCATTGTGGTTGCTGGGATCGCCCGGGGCTTCCCTTTACTTCTCTCTGGGGGGTGCAGTTGTCTCTGCTGGGGGACTCACGGAGCTCCGGGCTTGGGGACCGCTGTGTGTCTGTGGCTCCGGTCTTCCCTGTGTTACCATCGTGTTCTGTGGGGATGGGTCTGTGGGTCCCCACATCCACTATTGAACATTTTTTATGGAGAAACCTCATAGTGATAAGCATGCTCACACAGGTGTTGAGATTCAGGTGTTTATCAGATACACACTCAATTGGGTTGTGATGACCACTAAATATATCTTGTATTACCATGTACTGTATAAAATACTTTCTAATGATGTTATAAGTATCATTATATATGTTTTTGTTTTCTTTTACCCTTTATTTATCCAGGTAGTCTCATTGAGCCACGAGAACTCATTTTCAAGAGAGACCTGTTTGGGGAGCAGATGGTGGGGGTTAGGGGCCTTGCTCAGGGGCCCAGGGTGGGGCGAATGAGGGTGGAGGGAGGTGTGGGTGTTTCATCTTTTCCACCCACATTTTTGATGTTGATGGTACCGGGAGGTGAACCTGCGACTTTCTGATCACAAGCCCATCTTCTAGCCTCTGTGCCACCACTCCCCCCCTAATGTTGCTTGTTGTTGTGGTTTCTTGGTTTTGCCTTGTTTTCTTTTTCTTTCCGCAGGTCTAGAGTCAGACTTTAATGATGATGATTTATGTTCTCTTTATGGATCTCTCTCCTCTATTCCTATCTCCTTCTTTAACCCTTCTCCCACTTTTCTGCTTTGTTATCTTCTTTGTTTTCCGTCCCCGTGTCCATTACATCTGGAACAAACCCAAAGCGTATTCTAATAAAATTTAATTTATATATCAAGTGGAGCATTAAGGCCAGCCATAATGCTCTGTTGTGAAAGTAAATCTGTTGGGCATCACTTTGACACTCAGACAATAATTCTGAGTGTCACAATGCCGGACAGGACAAGGGAGAAAAAAAAAAAGAAAAAAAAAAAAGTTTATGAAATTATTTTACTTTGAATTTGTTTTAAAGCAGGGGTGTCAAACTCATTTACAAACGGGGGGCCGGAATTAAAATCTTTTTCAAACTAAGGGCCAATTTCAGAATCTACATGAACTCAAGTTAGATACCCAGCATTTTTTCTTAGTTGCAGGTTCCTCAACAAGAGTTTGATTGGTCTCATTTGATGTTCCCGCTTCACTTTCGATATCATCATCAAAGATTACTGGAAAAAATCAAATAATAAAAGTACTTTTAACATATCATCTTGAGGTCCAGATAAAATGTTAATGAGGGCCACATTTGGCCCCTGGGCCTTGAGTCGCTCAAAGCTCTAGAACAGGTAAATATTTATTGCTTGCATGCTATCACAGAACCACAAGTTTTTATTTAAATATTTATTTTACCGCTCAAGATACAGAACAAAATATAGGCTGCCTGAACAACACCAGAGCTAAAAGATGTTTACTGTAAAAATGTACTTTTTACTTCACTGTTTCCTCACAGTACAGAAACTTTCAGCTTCGACAATTCTATAAACGTATCATTTCCTCGTGCAGAACAATCCCCCCCCTCCAGGACAGGCTGGACACAAAGCTGTCCCCTGTCCTCCTCAGAGACAAACACATGCAGCTGCAAACAGCAGGAGTCTGAGCCCAGCCTGAAGCAGAGCCACTGCAGGGCCTTCTAACATGCACCCAACCAACTAAGGACGACACCACCCACCCACCCATCCTGAGCTCACATACAGGGACGTCTGTGAACCGTGTCTAATTTAACAAAAACCTTTTGTTTTGATGTTTTTACATTAGAATGATGTCACAGACTCTGACAGCAGCTCAAACAATGACAGAGCAGATACAGACACACTGACCTCCAAATATGAATAGGCTTGCTAAAATCTGTTAACATTCAATAAATATAATTAGGCTTGCTAATACCTGTTAATAATCAATAGTTCCTTGAGTCACTGACACACTGATCTTCATGGGTCTTACCTGTGCTGCTGCTCATGGTACCAGATGATGCTCAGTAAACAATCATAGATGGTGTCAGCAGCAGCCTCAGCCTACAGAGGAGACGGGCTGGTCCTGATGGGGGGCTGGTGCTGATGGGGGGTGTTTCCGGTCGCTGAGGCTGCACAGAGCTTCACAGTCAGCCTCCGTTCTGCGTCGGTCTCTCTGCGGCTCGGAGCAGCAAGCAGGGCAGGGTGGGTGTGGGCGCACAGTGCGGCGCACGAGCCGCTCGAGTCAGGACAGAACTGTGCTTCCGTTGTAGCTTTTCAAAACAAAAGTCCCTTAAAGGACTTTCAATCTAACATTCGTATAAAATGTTTTTTTATGATTTGTGGTCAGAATCTGAAACTCATCAGTTCTGACTGTGTCCTCATTAAGAGATACAAGGATTTTTATTGTCATTCTCATCACATGTGGTACATTCCAAAATGTTTTAACTAAACTTCTGTGTCCATAATACAGTATTATATATATATAAATTCTGACTGTGTCATAAATATATAAA